AGCACTTATTTAAGGAGTTCCTGAGAATGAACGATGCATCCCACAGAGACACAGGCACAGTAGACCAAAGTCCCTTGGGTTTGACAAATCGGCCGTAAGTCTTAATGACAGAAAAACCTATGTATGGTGGATTTTAAAAGATAAAACTCCAAGGCAAGCCACTTCAATAGATTCATAGCTTCTGGCTGAGAGGAACTGAATTTATGTACTTTTGTTGATTGTATTGAGGATTTGGTTTCCAACACAATGCTCCTCTGTTGAGGTAGTTTCCCTCTTGTCTTAGCCTTTTCCGTATTGCTCTAACAGAACACTCAAGGCTGTGGAATTTGCCCAGGAAAAGGATGCATTTTAGCAAACACTTTGAGGAACTGAAAGTGTAAGATCGGCCAGGCCTGTCTACTAAATCTTGGTCAGGGCCTTCTTGGTTAGATCACGTCGCAGATGGCATCATAGCAGAAAGTAGTTCGAGAGACAGACAGAGACCAATGATGAGCTAGCTACAGGATTAATCAGACTGGGAGGACTTTGCTTTTTTCATTACAACCTGCTTTCAAGGTAGAACTAACTAATCCATTCCTACCAGGCCTGACATGCATGGTAATCCACTCCAGGGGGTGAAGTTCCTGTAACCTGATATGCCCCACCTTTTGGTGGTTCCACCCCTTCTACACAGTCTGGGGTGAAAGTTTCCAGTATCCTGACCACTGGGGGACAAGGTCCATCTAAGCCACAACACTCTCCATTGGTCCACAGTCTCACACCTTGGTCCTCCTCCTCTTTGCTTGAGACAACTGAGTGAGCTGTCAGTGTTCTGCCAGTATCTGGCTTATCTTCGAAATGCCAGTTGTCTCCACTTCTTTTGCTTCATTTCAAGAGCTCAGAGGCAGCATTTATCTAAAGAGTGCCTGAGAATGGACAATGCAACCTACAGAACCAATAGCGGCTCATGACCCTCAGTCTAATTTGCAAGGATAGGTGTTCTCTTAGGTAAAGAGAAGGTTGGAGGAGAGACTTATGGGTAGTCCTTTGAATTTCATGGCAAGATATGGAGCTATGACAAAACACACACACACACACACACACACACACACACACACACACACCTCAGGAGATACATAGATTTTTCGTTTAGTCCAGGCAACAGATTCCTGGTTATGGAAGCTTAAAGACTGTGAAAAGCCCAGAAATTCCCTCCACATTATGGAAGGCATGCTGGAACAAAAGCCACTATAAAAGTATGATTAAACTTCAGCCATGGGTGGACATGGAGGAGAATGAGTGGGTGTGTGAGGGGGATTTACACAGAAACATGGTAGAGGATGAGGACAACTTGGGAGATTTGTTCTTGGGAAAATGGCTCAAATGCTTAGAGAAATGCAGGACCAGGGAAAATCCCAGAGAGTACACTTTAGTTAAATGTAGTAATTTAAAGGGCAGGGAGAGGGGCTTCCCAAAGGTCACACGTCAGGCAGCCTGAGGCTCTGGGGAAGTAACAGTCTGTGTTTCCCTATGATATTGGGGAAGGTGAGCTATTAGGGATTGTTTGAAATGTACTGGCATTCAGAGGTGGGTGAGTGGCTCTGGTTCCTTCAGCAAGGTGCCTGTATTTTCCCCTTGGTCTCCCCTCTCTTACTCTGTCTGTCCTCCATGCCTTGACTCTGTGACTGTGGCTCTGTGAAGCACAGGAGTTTGGCCACTGTGCTCTCCTTGCCTCCCCCTGGGAGCCTTCTCCTGTGTGCTGCTTTCTTTACAATGAGCTGTAAATCCCTGCTTAAAGCATGTTTCTACACCAACCCCAGGCTCTGGATTATGAAATGTGGCCCGCTGTGCTGGTGACCCCAGACCAATAATCATTTTAAAAACATTTGTTTACTTTGTGTGTATGTGTGTCCAACAGTATACATGTAAGGAGACCAAAGGAGAACATCTGGTATCCAGCTCGGTTCTATCGGTTCTATCTATCATTCTCTGCCTTCTTCACTTGAGACAGTGTCTCTCAATGAGTCACTGGACTGGCAGCCACCAAGCTCCAATCATCCTCCTGTCTCTACACCTAACAAGTTACCTGTAACAGGCAACGGATTATAGCCACCATGGAGCACACCCACTCCAACTTATTAGACATTTTAAACTATGAACACATTCTCCACTCTGTACCTTTGAGCTGTAAGTTTCTCTTCTCACCAATCATTTCCTCAGCCCTGTGGACTGGGTTCTATTTTCTTTTTTTTCTAATTATTTAATTGGAGTAAGGAAAACATTTTGTTTTCTGTGGATAAACTGCCCTCTCCATACCCCTTCCCCGCCCCCCCCCAGCCCTGGCAGGGTCTCGTGTAGCCCAGGCTTGCTTGGAACTTGCAGCATAGGCAAGTGTTGTGTGCTGTGTGACTTTTCTTGGGGAGACATGAACAAGCATCTAGGACACTGATGACAGATCAAAGAAATGGTTCCACCCAACTCCAACTTGGTGAACCAGTGAGTTGTTTTTTATTGTCTTTTGTTTTTTGTTTTTTGGTGGGGGGGTACTTCCAGGAGTGTGGTGAGGTTGATGAATGTACCAATAATTCAAAGGAAGCCACAACATCAAAAAGCCCATCCCAGCCTGACGATGATACATGAAAGATGCATCTCTGGAGCTTGCAGTAGATTCTTCTCAGGCTCCTCTGGTCTGCAGTCGCCACTGTATATTTAATATCCTGGGAGCAGGAGCCAGAGAGGGAGAGCTTGTGAATGTTAGGAGCTTCCTGAAACCTGTGAGTTTTGTTTACCTTCTAAGCCTAGTAGTTTTCCTGAATCTTAAGTAACAGCTGGTCTGAGAGGGAATGCTTCACCTCAGAGAAAATTGCTGTGCTACACTAAAGGATGTCTTTGAATTTCTGACACTTGCCTGTGTGTCCGAAGGACTGATATTACAGGTATGCTCCACCGTGCAAGGCTAACACAGTGTATTTATCATCCACAACAGGCGATGTGCTGTGTAGCACAACTTTTTTTTTTTTTTTTTTTTTTTTTTTTTTTTTTTTTTTTAAGGCAAGATCTCTCTGTGTAGACCAGGCTGGCCTAGACTCACAGAAATCCACCTTCCTTTACTTCCTGAGTTCTGGAACTAAAATTTTGTGCCACCATGCCCAGTTATATTTTGACCTGAAAATCTTTCTTTCTTCCTTTTTTTTTTCTCCCCGAGACAGGGTTTCTCAGTGTAGCTTTGGAGCCTATTCTGGCACTCACTCTGTAGACCAGGCTGGCCTGGAACTCATAGGGATCCACCTGCCTCTGCCTCCTTTGAAAGTATTTCTTTAAAAACATTGTTATTTCATTTCTTTCTTTAGTTTTCTTTTCTTTTTTAAAATAATTTCATTAAAAAGACAACTTGGGAAACAAACTTAATCTTAAAATTAGATAAACTAATATATTGTCTCTAGCCAATGAATGATATGATTTCAGATTTTAGCTGGGGGTGGCACTTACTGTTACAGACAGAATTCCAAAATGTGACCTTTTGCCCACTAGCATTTCTCCATTACATCTAATACTTTACACAACAAAAGAGAATTAGGAAACTTAATTATGGTGGTTAATCGGTACACTATCACATGGGGTGTCATGACTAGAGCTTCTATTGTTGAGACGAAACACCATCACCAAAAGCAACTTGGCAGGGGCGGCAGGGTTTATTACACCTTATACTTCCGAGTCACAGTCCATCACTGAGGATGAAAACCTGAGGGTAGGAATGAGAACCAAATCATGGAGGAGGATCCCTGCTTCCTGGCTTGCTTCTCAGGGCTTGCTCAGTTGGCTTTCTTACAGCACTCAAGACCACCAGTGCAGAGGTGGCACTGCCCACAGTGAGCTGGGCCTCCCACATCAGTCAAGAAAATACACCACAGGCTGGAGCACAGGCCAGTCAAGTGGGGACATCTTCTCAATTGAGGTGCCCTCTTCCAAAATGGCCCTAGCTTCTGTCAAACTGATATAAAACAAGCCAGCATGTGGGGAGGTTAGAGTGGGCCTAAGCTACTCACACTCATATTAAGTCAAATTTATAGCAAAAGAAAAGACTTGACATGTCTGTTGCTCTCTGAATTTGGGAGAAACCAAGGCAAGGACCAGAGAGCAGCCTTTTAGAGATGTTAGCAACATGACAGTCTCAAAGGAAATGGGACCCTCAGGCCTCATCATGAGAACTCAGCTCTACCAACTGTGTGCCTAAGTCCATGCAAGCATTCTTCCCGGAGTCCAGCCTTGCTTTGACCTTGTGAATCCTGGTGCAGGAGAAACAGTTCCTGGAATTACAGGTCTTCAGACTATGAAAAATAGAAGGGTGTTGTTTCTGTCCCCCCCACACACACCCCCAAGCTGGCCATTTGTCATACAGCAATAGAAAACTGATTTCTCTTGTTTTTGGAGTTTTCCTGCAGCCCCACCCCCACCCCCACCAAGTGCATTGTGTAATTGATGGCATCATGAGAAAAGGTTCAGGAGGCTTTATTTATTTTTATTTTAATTAAAAAAATTTTCCACTTAGATTCCATCCCCTCTGTTGGGAACAGTACTGTGGGTGGTACTATTGATAGAATTCCCACAGATATTATTCTTTGCTAACAGGACCTCCCCTTCCCCCCACCTCCAGCCAGGAGCCTTCTGGTAGGCACAGCTATGGACCCGTAGGCAGGCTGGCTTGGAACCAGTTCTGGCCAGTGAAATATAAGTAGAAATCTATCTGGATTGTTTGAAAAAAATTCCCCTTCTTAACAGATACGAGCTGAAGGGAAGTGCTCTGAGTGACACTTGCTACTTCTGCGTCTGCATAAAGTGTGACGGTGGGACATACCCTTGTGACCACAGAGGAGGCCAAAAGAACCACAGAGATGCTGATTAAGGACCTGCTGACCTTAATGTCACTGTTCACATTTGCATTTCTTGGTAGAGAAATATATTTTTGTTTGTTTAAACTATGGTGTATTAACTATGTGCTTTTTCTTTTAACCACTGCAAAGTACCTGACATGGGTCCCAGGAAGATGGCTCACCAGCCTGCTGTGCAAGCCTGAAGACCTAAACTGGATGCGCAGGGCCCAGGTAAAGGGTGAAAGAAAGACCCGATTAT